GATGCAAATAGTGGTGAAGGTGTCACCTGATTTCTTCTTGTGGCTTGTAGTAAAATGCAAAAGGAGGGAATTAAATTGAGAGAAAGACTATCAAAGAAGTCAAGGGTATGACTGAAAATTCATTAGTTAAGACCTTAGAACAGAGGTGATAACCTCAGAATACTATTTTTTCAGTCATATAAGAGCTCTTTAAATTAAGTTAAAGGCATGTCTAAGATTCTCTCAAACATGTCTCTAAGGAGTTAAGGAGTTCTGTCCCTCAGTTGTCTCAGCAGGGGCCCAAGGCAGAATTTATCTGGAGATCTGAGAGTATAACTTCTGCCTAATGGAGTGAACCCCCAGAAGAATCACAGGAGATCAACAAAATTCTGAAAGGAGTTATATATTCAGAAACATCTCTAGTTTGGGCTTGGAGTCAGAGCTGCAATAAAATGAAGAGAGGCCTTTGAACACTTAGAATTCTGTCAAGAAGCAGGCTGAAAGAGCTGCTTAGTTGCAAACACGCACTACCTATCACTAAAAAAAAGGGAGGATGATTCCGAGGGCAGAACCAAGAACCCCCAAGGCAGAGCTGAGAACCATGGCCTTTAAGAACCTTAAGACTTGATCAAGAAACTCTCAACATTTTCTGAATTCCGTGCACCAATGACTCCTTGTGCCTCCTATTTGAATAGAAACATCTACAGAGGTTATTCCATACCTGTCCCACCTGTCTGTTGGGATTGCAGGGAGAGATAACTTGCTTCTTTGGTTTCACAGGTTAAGAAATGTACCCAAACGCTAGAGTTAAGGAACTAAACCTGAGCACCCACAACTGCACATGGACCTGGTGTAGACAATAAAACTGGGCACTGAGCTTCTGCTGTAATGGGAAGAGACTTCTGCATTCCTTGGGAATATATTCTGCAAATGGGAGGGATGTAAATCACTGGGGGCCAGAGGGCAGACTGTGGTAGCCAGATTCTAGGATAGCTACTAATGATCACTATTTTCTGGTATTCATCTCCACCTCTTGAATGTGGACTGGATTTACTGACTTACTTCTAACATAACACAGCAGAAATGAGATGGCAGTACTAGGTAATAAAAGTCTGTGGTTTCTGCCTTAAGTGCTCCGGCTTGCTCCCTCTTGGGTCTCTCGGCCTGGGCGAAGCCAGAGGCAGTGTTGGGAGGCAACACTGTGGAGGGGCTAACATGGTGAGCGACTGAGGCTTGCCAACAAGGAGCTCAAGCCCTCTGACTCCAGCCCACAACTTGACTGCTGCTGATGAGATGTAGAGCCAGATAGACCAAACTAAGCCATGCCTGTGAGATAATAGAAACTCTAAGATAAAAAACTGCTTCTGTTTCAAGCTACTAACTTGGGGCAACTTGTTATGCAACAGTAGATTAATACAAAGAGGAACAGAATAGAGACACCAGCATGGAAAGGAAGAAGATAAATCAGAAGGCAGATGGGACATAGTGCTCTTTTCTCTTAAAATAGTTAATAACAATCTTGAAGATGAAGAGTGGGAGAGATATGAAATGATCAATGCTCAAATAAACAGTATGGAAATACAATAGCAGAGAAAGGTGAGTAAGAAGGGAAAGGGTAAGCAGGCTAGCTGAAGATTGCTTTATGATCCAAAGAAATAAACAAAAGGCTAGTGTAAGAAAAAAGATGTCTGGTGTGGTCTGTGACAGGGAGAAGACAGGTTATGGGCCACTGAAAGGCTACTGACATCATGGGGGCATCAGTATTTTAAAAAGTCAGAAAATCCCTCATAAGGGATAATACTCTGGGAACCATAATTACAAAGTCACTAGGGCTGGCTCTGAAATGACTACGCTGAGGAGGGCAGAGGGTGATGCAATCTCTAGGAGTGGAGGAACTCATCATTTATTCTGGAAGCAATATCTGGAAAAAAAAAAAAAGACCTGTTGGCAAATCTTTATACTCACATCATTAAGGAGGCCAAGGATGATTATGTAGATGAGAAATGGTTGCTAGAGATGATATAGTTGCATGCATAAAAAAACTTTTATGAAGTAATAAATATGCTGCTTGAAATACTGGACAGATGGGAGGCACGGACTCAGTAATAGAAAAGTGAGGCCCAGCTACGGCAAAGGAAGGAGCATTATCTAACTCGGCAGATATTCTCACCTGGTAATATCAAAGATGCAGTGCATATTTCAGCTGGCAGCATTAATGCCAGCTTGTTTCTATGCAAGCATTAAATAACCTTGAAGGAGAGCTTAAAGCAACTAAGTAAATGTGAGAAAAATTCATAAGTTAAATATAGTTTCAAAAATTTTTTTCCTTCCCCCCTCCTTCCCCTCCCTTCCTATTCCCTCCCTTCCTCCTTTCTTCCTTTTTTTGTAGGAAAAAATGTAATTACTATAAAAAACAAATGTCCAGTCATATCTGCCAAATGAGTCAAGTGCCTAACACTGTTCTAGGGACTGGAGTGAACACAGGAGAAACTCTGGCCCCCAAGGCACTTATGAACTAGTTGGAGACTCAAGCTCTATGTGCACAACAACTACAGGAGGATTCAAGGAAAGGCAGCCTGACAAGGAGGTCATCCTTGAGGTGGTGAAATGAGGTCCACAGGGAGAACTGCAGCTAGACAGAGGCTGTGTGGAGTCAGGGATGGAGGAGGAGAAGCCTCAATTCTGAATGTCATGGTGGGAGAGCCTTTCAAGGAGGGGACTTGAGGAGGACACGGGCATCTAAGACACCTCTGCAGGCAGCTGATGCTCACAAGTGGGGACACACAGGGTTGAGCTGGGAGGAGTGGAGAGAAAACTGGGATACTGGCCCAGTCCTCATTCCTTCATTCACAAACAATAAGCGCCGATTTGGGGCATGGTTCCATGCTAGGTGCTGTGGAGACGCACAGGTAGACTGTTCTGGCGGCATACAGCCCGGTGAGAAGACCAGGGAACTACACGCAAAACACTCAGATGAGGCAGAGGGGCACAGAGAGATTCTCATGTGATGTCTCTGCCCAGGGGAAATGACAACAGGCTTGGAGAAAGGGGTTAGAGCATCTTGTGTATGTAGGACTTGGATTCTCTAAAGCAGTTTGGTAATGAAAGAAATTACAGCAAGAGGAAAATGATTCAAATGAGCAGTAAAGTCTTAATCTCTTTCTTTTTCTTAGCAGAAAACAGTAACAGCATGTGACCAATAAAGCACATGAAGACATTGTGAATCCAATTTGCCCAAGTTGGACAAGAAACAAAGGGAAGAGGGAAGTGGAAGCTGCGGCATCCTCAGAGCCTGACTCACAGCCGGCCAGGTGGGCCACAACTCCCTGAACCCGTCTCTCTGGACCTCGGCTAGTCAGTACAATGGGGAACCCCTTATCTTACAGGGTGGCTGTGAGGACTGTGCAGGACATGGGGCCTTGCACAGTGCCTGAGTGAGCACTCGGTAAACCTGATTTATTGTTGTTGAAGCCTGGGCTGCTGAAAGATAGATGAATGCTCACAAAAATGAAGGATGTACTTAACCTTCTCCTCTTCCACTTTCCCCTCTTCTTACACATGGTTCCCTGTCATTTATTTAAATTGATGGTTGTGGAAAAAGAAGAGCTAAAGAGGAAGAAGCTAAAAAACAGGTGTGGATTTAACAGTGTAGATGGCTTCACCAATAAAAACATAGTAAAGATGCCGGCTTGGGTAAGTTTATTAATGCAAATTTTTTCTCTTACCAATGAGTCCTTGGACTCTTACCAATGGGTCCAAGAAGAACATCAAGGGAGAAAGAAAGGAAAAAGAAAGCTAGTGGAGTCCAAAGAAGAATATTTGGAAGTAAGTTCTGCAGGCAGGCACTGATTAGAGGCAAGACAGAGAAGGCATGACTATGGTGGTTGGCAGGATAGGTTAAAGTAAAATTAAACTCTATCCTGGTGAAATAAATAAAAAAGCTGAGGATGTGTAACCTATAGGTCTTTGAAAGAATGGTTAAAACTAAAACTGATAAAGGGCCTTGGAGCAAAATATTTAATGGCTGGAGAGAAACCAAAATGATTACATGTTAAATATGAATATATATCTGCATTCTCCAGCCCAGAAAGGAAAAATAATAAAATAAAAGACTTGAAGTATATTTCACTATGATAATTACCACTTTAGTGCTTACTATTTGACAACATCTGCTCGAAGTGCTTAACAAATATTAATCATTTAATTCCCATTGCAACTCTGTGAAGACAATACACTTATTATCACCATTTTACTGATGAGGAGACAGGCACAGCGAGTTTAATTTGCCTAAGGTCTCACACTGTGCTAAACTGCTTCTCACAATTATGCTGAGCTGGGACACAGGCGGAGTGAAGTCCCCCCTCCAGTGGAATGAGTTTAGGCCCACTACAGCAAGAACAGGACCACAAACTGTTACTATAAAGAAGATGATAACTTTGGACTGACAGTGAGATAGTTCTTTAAAAGTCATACATGGTTACCAATCAGTTTGAAGGGCACATAATATGAAAAAACTACAAATGGATGTGATTGGCCAGTAGGCACATTAAAAAAAGAAAAGGACCAGGAAACAAAGTTTATCAAAGGGCCACTGTGGTGATACAAAGGCAGCAAATTTCCTGATAAGAATTCATAAAACAGACCATAATGCTGGGTGGACATGAGGCCCTGGGAGCACTGTACTCCTGCACTGATGTGGGATATTACCTTGCAAATCTTTACCATATTTGTCTTCTCCTAGGAAATATACCCAAAAGAATAAGCTGGGATCTTTGGTGAGATGTGATACAAGATTCTAAGGTATCATTATTGTGGAATACATTTAAAAAATACATTGCAAAAAAAAATTAGGAGGACTGTTCATTTACAATTAATGAAGCATGGCTTTTTCAAAAGCAGAGAAGGTAAAAGCTTCATTCAAATCCCACCATCAACTGATATTGAGGCACAGGGAATGCTGGAGAGGGGCAGAAAGGCTGATTTCAGAATCCAACAGTTGTGACTCCCACAGTGATTGTCACCTGTTTGGTTTTCTTCAACAGAGAAGGAACTGGAGTTGTTTCCTGTGGCAGCATTTCTGTGTCTCCTCTTCCTTCACCATCTGACACTTCTAGAAAATAGAAAGTTTAAAAATTAGGAAGGCATGTTTCCCTGTCTTTCCCTTTCTCCCATTGCTAAGGCAATCTTGGTATCACCCTTCTAGACGGTTCTATCCCTTGACTCAGTAGTTTCCACACCTAAGAAGCTGAATTTAAGGAAACTATTCAAAATGAAGATAGAGATTTAAGCACTAAGATGTCTGTCTTATTTATAAAACTGTAAAACTGAAGGTTATCCAGTTGTTTAACATTTGAGAATGTTTAATTATGGTATACTCATATTGATTTTACAGATATTAAATGCCATGTTTTTAGATAAGAAACTTGCTGCAATTTGCCCAGGTCACATACCTGGGAACCCAGATCTATATGAGTCCATAGTCTTCCTCACAAGCATACTGTTGTACTGAGAACCAGCCAGTTCTGGATACCTGGGTGCTGGCCCCAGAGGGAATGTTAAAAGATTATGACTAAAGGATTATCAATATGAGAAATGATATTTTGATTCTTTAAAATCTTTCAAAAATGGAAAAAAAAATTCTTACTCTAAGAATCAGGAAAAGTAAGTTTTAATCGCTTTCCTGTTTATAAAACTCTCGCAAAGAAACATGGCAACTCTAAGTTTCTTACTTTCCATTATGCCATACTGCCTTACAGATTTTAGTGGTTGCTTTCTTTAAATGCATTTTTGAACTCTGAAAGTCTTTACCTATTCCCTTTGAATTTCTTCATATATCTCAAATCCAGCCCAAAATGCAAATTTGTAGGGAACCTTGGTCAGAATGCATATTTAGGTCCCAATTAGCCAATTTGATAGTCCTGAACTTTTAAATGTTTGCATACTGTGATGGTTAATTTTATGTGTCAACTTGATTGAGCCACAAGATGCCATATATTTGGTTAACCATTATTCTGGGTATTTCTGCCAGGATGTGTTTGGATGAGATTAACATTTACATGGGTAAACTGAATAAAACCAACTGCCTTCCTTAATGTGGGTAGGCCTTATTCAATCTGATGAAGTCCTGAATAAAACAAAAAGGCTAATGACCCAGAACAAAATGACTGACCCTCCATGAGTAAAAGAATTTTTCCTGCCTTTGGACTTGAACTGAAACATCAGTTCTTCCTGGTTCTGGACCAGCCTTAAGACTGGAACTATACCATTTGCTCTCCTGGATCTCAGGCCTGCTGACTAGGATTGGAACTAAACAATGGCTCTCTTAGATTTCCAACTTGCCTATTCACACTTCAGATCCTGGGGCTTGCCAACTCCATAAGAGCATGAGCTAATAGTTTTAAAGCTATATATAACTATCTCCTATTGGTTCTGTTTTTCTGGAGAACCCTGATTAATACAAATACTTTTAATTGGGTAGCATGAAAAAAAGGACTCTACCCAAGCAGTAGTAGCAGGTAGGAGATTAACAAGGTTTTTAAATAAGCAATTAAGTTGGCATTTATAGAACTGCTTCTAGGAAGATAGTAGTAGTAGTCATATTTTCCCCAATTTTTCTTCCTAAGTACAGCTAAAAATCCTGGACATTATATATAAAACAAACACAGGAAATCTCTGAAAGGTAGAACAAAGAAGACAGACCTATTAGGGACTTTGGGGCCCAAGGAACAATAGAGCAGTGAGTTCCCTGAGTTTTCTTTCTACTGCATTATCTCAGACTTAGAGCTAAGGAAGCCAGCAACCTGGAAACACCAATGAGACAGACAAAAAAAGCTCCAACAAACATCTGCTCTATTTAACAAGATTACTGGGAAAGGAGAGCCCAGTAAGACCTAAAACTTTTAGACCATAATAACTTGACTTCAGTCAAACACCACAGAATAACTGTGGCCCCATCCCCACCAGCAAAGGCTGACTGGGGAGCTAAGACTTCCACTCCTGACAGGCTGTAAGGAGGAATTCCAACTCCTTCTCCAACTCCAACCACAGTAGTGTCAGAGATGATCGAGTAGGGATTGATCCCCTGAGGGGATTTTTATCCTTGAAGGGTGGTAATGAACGCCTATTCCCTCATTACACCATCACCACCACCACTCTAGTATTAATGGAGGCAACATGGTGAACCTGGACACTCACCTCCTTCTGACAGTAGCAAAGTGCACCTCACCTTCCCCATTTGGAAAGTGTCAGAGGAGGCGAAGTAGAGGGTCAGGACTTACCCTATTGTTAATGAGGCCACACTCACACTACAAAGGCATACAAAGAGATACACTCAAAAGCACCAGATAAATAAAAGTAGAATCCTAAAAATGTTCAAGTAACCCAAAGGAAAGCAGGAAAGAGAAAACAGAGAAACAAAAACAGCAAACATAAAAGATGAAATAAAATGGCAGATTTAACTCCCAACATGCAACTACATTAATGTAAATGGCCTAAACATACCAATTTAAAAACAGAGATTGACAGAGTGGATTAAAAACAACGACCTAGCTATATGCTGTTTATAAGAAGCTTAGCTCAAGTAACAATATAGGCAAATTGAAAGCAAAATGATGGGAAATATTGATGAAAAGAAAGCAGGAGTACCTATATTAATATCAGATAAAATAGACTTCAGAATAAAGGAAATGACTAGAGAAAGAGAAGGACATTATATAATGGTAAAAAGGTGAACCTGTTAAGAAGACATAGCAATCCTAAATATGTATGCACCACAAAATATGGGAAGCAAAAACTGATAGAAATGAAAGAAGAAATAGACAATTAAGTTGCAAATATCAATAGTCCTCTCTCAGAAACTGAGAATGATTAGAAAGATGATCAGCAAGGATACTGAACTGAGTGACACCATTAATCAATAGGATCTGATCAACATTTGTAGAACATTCCACTCAAAAATAGCAAAATACATATTCTTTCAAGTATTATGGAACATATACAAAAATAGACCATATTCTAGGACATGATATATCAAATTTAAAGAGCTGGAATTGGTAAATGGCATGCATAGAAACCTACAGCAAGCATTACACTTAGTAATGAAAGACCAAATGTTTTCTTCCTGATTGGGGACAAGGCAAGGTTATCTTCTCTGACCAGTATTATTGTTACATGATTTTAGAATATTAGAAATTAACATTATGCTAGAATTTTTAACTAGTATAATAAGGCAAGAAAAGGAAATAAAACATGCATCAGAAAGGAAAAAATCAAACTGCCCCCATTTGTAGATGACATGATTACTTACATAGAAAATTCCAAGAAATCTTAAAAAGAAATAACAAAAAACTGCTAGAACTAATAAGTGGGTTTGGCAAACTTGAAGAATAAGATAAACATGCAAAAATCAATTTCATTTCTGAACATGTGAACACAAAAATTTTAAATGCATTGCCATTTACAATTGCTGAAAAAGATCCTTCAATATTTAGGTGTACATTTAACACAACATGTAGTAATTTCATGCTGAAAACTTAAAAAAAACACTGATAAAAAAATCAGGGAAGACCTAAATAAATGGTGGGGCATATTATGTTCATGCATTGAAAGACTAATCATAGTAAAGATGTCAGTTCTCCCTGAATGGGTATACAGGTTTAACATAGTTTCTATCAAAATCCCAGCAAGATTTTCTCTAGACATATACAGTTTATTCTAAAATTTATGTAGAATGGCAAAGGAACTAGAGTAGTTAAAACAATTTTGAAAGAGAATAATCAAGTGGGAGGAATTAGTTTACACAATTTCAAGACTTGTTATAGTAATCAAGTAGTTTTGGTGTGGGGTAGACCCATAGATGAATGGAATAGAATACAGACCCAGAAAGAGATGCACACAAATATGTCCAACTGATTTTTGATCAAAGTACAAAAGCAATTCAAGTGAGAAAAGATATTTCTTCAACAGATGGGGAAAAATCCATTGGCAAAAAATGAACCCCTACCTAAGCTTCACACCTTACACAGAACTTAACTTGAAATGGCTCATATACTTAAATGTAAAATGTAAAACTATAAAACTGTCTGGAAAAAAGTAAAAAGAAACCTTTAAGATCTAGAGCTAAGCAAAGAGTTCTTAATTGACACCAAAAAGTACAATCAATAAAAGGAGTAATTGATAAGTTAAACTTTATAAAAAATGAAACTTTTGCTTTGCAAAGACCTTGTTACCAGGATGAAAAAACAAACTACAGAGTGAGAGAGATACTTGCAAACCCCGTATCTAACTAAGTATAGACTAGTATCAAGACAGTATAAACAGTTCTTAAAATTCAATACTAATACAACAGATAATCAAATTAGGAAATGGCAATAGACACATGAACAGACATTTCACTGAGAAGGATATACTGGCAAATAGTACATGAAAATACGTTTCACATCATTAGCCAAGAGTGAAATGCAAATTAAGACTGTGTCATCACTACAAACCCATCAATGGCTAACTTTAAAAAAAAAGCACTAGCACCAGATGCTGGTGAGGATGTGGAGAAACTGGATCACTCATACATTGCCAAGTGGGAATGGAAAATGGTACAGCTACTTCCATTCCACAAGTAGAAAACAGTTTGCAGGTAACTAAAATTATATATAGTTTTTAAAGTTGTTTCTACTGGGGGAATGTGGGTAAAGGGTACATGTGATCTCTTGGTATTTTTTTTTACAACTGCATGAGAATTCACAATGATTTCAAAATTAAAATTTAATCTAAAAAAAGTCTTTAAAGGAAATCTATCATCTCCTTCAGGAAGTGACAAATTATTATGCTGGAAAAGTCAACAGGTGTGTGGTTGGCTGTGGACCAGTCTGAACAGCATCCTGCTGCTGGGGCATCCTTGCCAGCGTCACTGATGTTCTGAATCAGAGAGCCAGGGGGCAGCTGGGTTCAGAGAACCTCAGTCAACCCAGGGAGGCTATGATGAGGTCTTCAAAAATAAAAGCCCTGGAGCTGAGGATGCCAGATAAAATACAGGATGCCACATTACATTTTAATTGCAGATAATTTTTATTAAAGCTATGTCCCAAATACCGCACGGGGTATATCTATATGGTA